CGAGGTATATGCTTGTTTCCATCTATTCTACCCAAAGAGCACGGAAATAACTTCCTCCTAAGTATTCAGTGATTTAATTTTTGAGACGGCGAGACATTGTTCCTACAGCATTAACTCCAGCCCAAGCAAAAGCCTTTTCTTGCATTGATTATTGACAACTGCTGTTGGCAACCCGAACATCATTGACCAATCAGCTCTACCGATTCAAGTCGACAAATATTTGCTCTTCGTTCTTGTAACGCTAAATAAATTACTTACGAGTTAGCCAATGTAGGTATGCCAATGCCTAGGTCAGAATAAATGCTGCATGATTCCTGCCATATTCCTAATGCTCTATATGCGCCATGCCCCAGTCTTCTATCATTCGAAAGAATATCAACCTACATTTGTGATCTGCCCACTAATTAGGATGTCTGATGACTTAAAGTCACATGAAAGCATATTCTGCATTCTGTACTTTATGATTTTTAGTTTATACCTCCTATCTTTTGATCCTGAAGAAGGATACATAGGCTATAAGTTAGGATTTTTTGTAGATCAAACTCCAAATTTATATATCTACAATGTAATATTCACATTTTTTCTGGGAGGGATAACAAAGTATGCTCATTTCATCAGCCTTTGCTGTTTTGTCTTATTTAAATTTGAGTATTTTGCCAACATAATACTAACGTGAGTATAATTAAAGCACATCCTTTTAAAATCTTATCATTTATTAGGATTGCATATCATTAATTGCTTAGAATAAGCGTTAAAGATATAAGGTTTTATTTTACCCACAAAGCTTGAGCTGTAATAGATGATTTTATCCTCAATATAATTCGATTTCAGCTCTTCGAAGTCCATGCTACTTTAACTTAATGGGATTCTAACCTAGATTATGCGTAGAGATCCAAAGTGTCCACCAGCTCAAAAATCCCTAGCTTTAATCTGTTGTAATCCGAAGTATAAAGAGGCAACCTTTACAAATATCGACTCCAATGAAACATCAATAGTGGCAATACATTAACATGTTGTACTGTGTTGATTTCAGACCATTCTGATGGGGGACGATTGATGGATCTACTAAATAAAGTTACCCTAATAAACAATCTCTTACCTCTAATTTACTTCACTCACTAATTTATTTTGACAATAAAGTATATATTTTTTCTTCAAATATGTATTTTAATGTAATCCTTATGAAACATCATAAAAATATACTAGTGCCTGTGCTATGCATCCCCTTAATCGTTCTTTAAAACAGTGTCTTTCTGGAACAATACCACGAACAACCAGAGCTGGCAGTTCCACCCTCTCAAATAACGTTGCTGAAAAAGATGCTGCACTTCTCAGTCTAAAAGATGCCCAGGATGGCTTTGGTAAATACCATCCTAAGGCTACTGCAATTTCAGATATTCTCTCTTCTCAAGATCTAAGTGAACGGAAGCAGAATTTTCCTCGACTGTTAGAGGTCCATCAAGAAGCAAATGATGAAGTTGATTTGACAGTAGAATCGGATCTTCCATGTAATCTCAACTCTTCCACGTCCTTCGTTCGTAAAGGCAGCGGTTTAACAGCATCTGTTCGCCTGGGACCTTCAGTTAATTCAATAAATAACATTGACCACGTGCAACAAGAATCAAATAGCGGGATTCGGCCCTCGTGTGCTTTCATACCAAATTGTTCTGGTCCCTCCTCGCAGATCTCAGCAGCCCAGTCGACTGTTAAACCATCATCTGTTGCTATGGCTATGCTCTCCACAGGCCACGCACATATGACACATTCAGATACAGCAAGTTCTGGTCGCGATGACCTACAATCTTCCGGACTAAATGGAGGCAGCCTCACGGCAACAAATTGCTGCTGTCTAGATGCACACTATTTGACCGTGTTGCTTGGACTCAGTCTTCTGTTGGCAGGGCTGCTGATGCTCTTGGCTGCAGACCGACACGTAAAGCCGGCATGGTTATTCTCCAGGTTGGTATACTTTCGAAGTATTATGTTCTGAATTCAGAGTTGATCAGTATTTCATTTGGGTCCGTTGTCATTTAGCGCTAATATAACTTTTAAGTAACAGACTATCTACTTTATAATTATTACCTTTAACCCATTTCTTAGCCAATAAAAGTATGTATTTACTCTATTTGGTCTAGGGTAGTCTCGAAAATCTACTCATAATTAAAAAATAGAAAAATCAAATGCTGATAGCACTATTCTCCGAATGCTACTTTATTATTTCATACAATCGCAGGAGGTCATAATCTGACTCACCTTTTGTTCGAAAAAGCCTTTTCATCTTCTCATTGATCTCACTTTAGACGCGTCTTAAGCAATGCTTAAAACTAGCAGGATCACAAATAAGACTATTAATGATTACAAATTTTGCCTGCAATT